TTACACTCACAAACCGTAGGATTTAATGGATACTTTCTCGCGAATAAGGATTGAAATTCGCAGACTCTGAAGTGTCCCCGTTGCCTTGTCGTTACTTTTAGTCGGAATGGTATCAGCACACCCTGTATGATCTCTGTCACCCGGACGATGCGGGGAAAATTCGTGAACATCTGATGGGTGTTGGTGTGGCTACCCCCACCGCCGCTGCTGTGGCCGCCATGGGTAACTCTGAGGCGCTGAAGGGCGGCAGTACAATGACCACTGCTACCTCCAAAAACCTGCCCTCTTCCGCTATCAACGGCCTCACGCCTTCCTCCTGTTCGCCTACCACTGGCAACTGTTCCGCAGCCATCTCCACTGCGTCCACCATGTCAACTGCGGCCTCTGCTTCCACCTACTCCACTCGTGTTCTTGACTTGAAGACAGGCACAGTCAAAAAGGATGGTCAAAGTTGTAAGTGCCGACATTTTTGTGCTCATTGCTTCTCTTTCTTCCATTTTCACCACAATATGACATATTCAAGCGTTGCCCATGCTTGCTGTATCTCTGTTAAGGGATTTTAAATAATTTGCATGTCGCGAATTTGGATTTTTTGTCTGCGGATCTATTTAGCTAAGTCGAAAACGGAAAGTTATGGTGAATTAAGTGCTGTTATTTATTTTGCCCACAAAATACGTTTGTCCCTGCGATTCGCAGGCCCTTTTGGTTCTTTTACAATGTACACCTATACAAGAGGTGAACGCAACGGTCATTGGCAGCTAGAGCTAAAGAGCACTTGCTTAATTGGCTATTAAATCAGGAAAACAGATCTCCTCATACATCCATTAGCGAATACATGCTTGATACGGATCATTCTATGCACTCCAAAACTTCTTTCCGAGTACTTAATAGGGCACGAACAACTCGTACCTTGCGCTACCTGGAGGCAGCCTATATACGGCGATCAAAACCCGACCTATGGTAGCAGTTGAGCATGTGGTTAGTCTAACTTTACTCCGGTAAAATACAACTGTCCGATTTATACATTCCCTGCCCACATTTTCGTTTTAACGCTTTTTTCCTAACTTTTACTTTCCACATTGTTTTAACATGCTTACGTTATTGATTAGCCTTCGTGGCCAGGTCCTATGACCTTATTGACTTTTACCGCACGATTTCAACTTTGTAAATTTTTTTTCATACTTTAGTCACGTTGTGCACCGAGAGCAAGCAGCTGATGAGCACTCCCAAAATTTATGGATCCATTAAATTCTGTTGTTTATGCAATCTTCAAATTTGCAGCAGGGAAAAGATGCTTTAAATAACTGAATCAGCTTAGGCAAGTTTGTTTTTTAATCACAAGAAGCGGGGACAAAAAATCGTAGTATAAAACGATCCGACCTCAACAATGGAATGCTTACCCCTCATTGCGAATTTTCATGGTCATCTGGACTATTCCGAAAGCGGACTCGCTATGCACGGGTGTTTTTTGGAAACTTCATAATTTTCATCCTGTTGGACAGCCAGTTTGTCGTGCTCTCGAGGCTTGATTGGCAAAGGAGGAGAGAGATAGCACAGGTCTGTCTCACCATACAATAACACACGCACACCTCTTGAGGCAGCGATGGACGTTCTCAGTTGCGGCAGTCTAGCACAATTAACTGAACTGGCGTGAAGACTGTTTTCACACCATCAGCAACAGGCTCTCACCATGCGAACTTGGTCGTACTACAGCGTGGACGTTGCCTGCCTCTCTGAAGGTGCGTTTACAAGGTCAAGGCAACACACACGCACACAGCTTTAGGGTGTCAGACGCCACGGACTTTTTCATTTTTTTCTGCCAGCGGTGCCCCCGACCGACATGCTGTCGATTTTGCCCCGGATGCTCGAATCAGATCTCTGCTTGCGCGCTGACAATCAGCGTCCTCGAGAATTACATCTAAGTGTCTTTGTGCGGAGGTGGTAAATGTCCGTTTTTGCGGTGGACAGCCCATAAATTAACGCATAGACGAGGACGGAGTATTGAACGGGGAAGTATTATGCATAACCGGACGGTAAAAGTACTTTGGGTAAATATCGTCAAGCTCTTTGTATCGAACCGTTTGGCCTTTGCAGATACCTGTCTTGGACATACTAGGAGACCTCCAGCAAATGATGTTTGGACAGTAGCGCACTGAAATTGAAATCGACTGTATGTTTGTCTGAGTTCGCTGGGACAGTCCAGTGCTAGGCACTCAAACGATGCATGATGTTGAGATCGGCCGGACAAGTGCAAAGACAGCCCAAAAGGTCTCGAAAATAGCCTCCTCATTGGAGAGAACGAGGATCGCCTCGGGTTTCGCTACTGGAGGTATCAGTACAGTCACAGTAGACAGTATTTATATTGGATTAGTAGGCAGCTTTTGCTAGTTTTGGTTAAAACTGCAGCCAAGTAGTCATATTAGAAACGAAGTTGATTCTGGGGCAAACGAAGCGTCTAAGACCTCCAGCTGACTTCGTTAACGTCTCTGAAATCGATGTGAAGACAAAACTCTTCCGAGTGTGAAACATAGCTTGCGCTATTCTGGAGTATCTGATTGGTGTTGCCTCAACTTCACTCTGAAGTCGCACGTCTGATCGCGTCTCCAGTGGACTTCCAACCTGCCAGCTGCGCCCCTCCCCCCTTACACACCAACTGAGATGGCTCGGCCATGTGCTACGCAAGCCTGAAAGCGAAGTCGGCCGGAATGACACCGAATCCGAGACCGGCCGTTGCAAGCGACGGCGCCGAGACGGCTAAAGGAAGATGTGGCTATATATTGTGGTAGCGAACTTCAGGAACAGCTCTGGTCTATCTTGTGTGC